AATAAGTTAATTAATATAAGTTCGTAAAATGTAAAATTTAAATTTGTATCAGCTTTTTTTATTAAATTAAATTTTTAAATAAATTAGTAAAATATTTTTCCACGACATAAACTGTATTTCTGATTTTATTTTGTACCTAGAAATTATAAACTATTTATAAAACTATAAATAAAATAAGTGATATAAAGAGGGGGGGTTGAAATCAGGGATGCGAGGTTACTTCAAAGACGGTAAAAAAAAAGTTTTGGCAATCAATAGAGAGAAATGCAATGTAGGGAATGTAGATATGGGAACATTTTAACCATGCTTTCATCAATGTTTCATTTTAAATAAAATTAATTTGCCATTCAAATAAAACTATAATCCAAACACCATTATCTCAATGGTTATTTTTTGTAATCTTAAATTATTAGTGTCCAACCCGCGGCCCGCGGTTAAAACGTACGAGTTAAACGTACGTCTTCAAAGTAAAAATCAACTCATTAGTAATATGTTTCAAATAATAACTGCTTTTGAACTGAAACTTAAATTATGGCAAAGTCAAGTTAAGGTGAATAATTTTATGTATTTCCCTGTGTTGGCCGAATACAATCCCAAGAATAGCGAGTAATATGCTTCTTTAATTTTAATTTTATTAAGTGAATTTGAAACCCGTTTTCAAGATTTTCGTAAGAATAGTCAACTCTTTGCTATTTTCGCAACACCATTTTTGGTTGATATTACTGCTGTAGAAACTAAATTTCAAATGGAATGTATTGAGTTGCAATCAGATATTCAACTCAAAGAAAAATTCAATCAATCACCTTTACTAGATTTTTGTAAATTATATCTACCCAAAGAAACATATCCAGTCCTTCATGACTATGCCTTATTTATGTTCTCGCTTTTCGGCAGTACTTACATTTGCGAACAATTGTTTTCAAGAATGAAAAACACAAAGAGTAAGAATCGGTCCACTATATCAGACAAGCACCTTGAAAGTTGTTTAAGTATTTCCACAACTTCAATCGATCCAGATATTGATTCATTACTTTCACAAAAAAAGCAATTTCAAATTTCACATTAAACAAAACTAATGACTTTTAACTTTTTTAAACTAAAACTTTTTTTTAAAACTTTTTTTAATATAAATAAATATATTTTTCTGTGTACTTATAATTAAATTATTAAATATCAATACTTGTAAAAATATTTNAAATGGGGCATTATGCCTAATTTGTAAGGAAACCATTTCAGTTTTTAAAGATTATAATTTAAAAAGGCATTATTTACAAAAACATGCAACCAAAATGGATTCCTGTCAAAGTTTTTTTCGGAAACAAAAAATTTTAGAGTTAAAAACATGTATTTCTTCTCAGCAACTTAATATTAAAAAAGCTACTTCTGAGTCTCTAACCGTAACAAAAACTTTTTTTATTGTAAAAAAATATATTTTTCTGTGTACTTATAATTAAATTATTAAATATCAATACTTGTAAAAATATTTCTGCTTATTATTCGCTAATGTTAAGTTATAAAAAAAAATGAATTGTTTTAGTATAGATTATAATTTAATCATTAAATTAGAATGTATTATTATGTAAAAAAGTATGTGGCCCACAACAACTTCTACCTACATGATGTGGCCCAGTATTCACAAAAGGTTGGACACCCTTGTCTTAAATCATAAATGTAACTACTAGTATAATAGTACATCCTAGCCATATTGTTACACAATAAAAATTATAATAATAAGTGTACTGATAAAAAGTTAATAGTTTAATATTTCAAATGCATCAGAAAATATTTTCATAAAAATTGGTTTACCTAATTTAAAAAATGAAGTTTGAAAGTATTGAAACATTCTAATTTCAAAAGTCATTGTAGTAACATAGAAAATTACACTTAATATAAATAATCCAAAATCCATAGAAATATCTATACTCAATAGAGTATAGTCTATACTCAACTTTCTGATCAATTTTAAATGAACATTTAAATTATCGGTAATATAAACAAAAGATTATTGATATTATTTCCTACTCATCCACATAGGGACTGGCTTTAAGTCACAATGAAAATCTAGAAAGTTCTAACTAAGACGATTTTTTAGAACTATACGAACTTTTTTGTAAATTGACAATAATTTTAGTATAAAATATTGTACATATTTATCATATATGCAAGCCATGATATTCAAAATAAAATTCTCAATATTGTATCCCAATCAACTATAAGTCATAACAAATGAATTTATAACATATGGAAAGTATTTTATAATGTGTGATGAAACTCGTTCATTTACAGAAGAACAATTGAGTTAGTGTGTGAGATATTCTAATGGATTTGAAGAATGTGATTGTTTTATACAATTTAGTGATTGCACTCAGTCAAGGAATGCAGAAATTTTATAAAATATAGTTACAAATGAACCAAAACAATTAAAAATAGCTGGCATACCCATTGTGGCACAAACATATGATGGTGCTAGCATAATGGCAGGCTTAATTGGAGGACTACATACTAAGATTAGAGAAAAATATCAAACTATTGTATACTTTCATTGTGCTGCACATAGCCTTGGTGGTTACTGACACATGTAAACATGTAAAAAGTTCAATAATGTTTTTTAATTTAATAGAAATGCTATGTATTCATTGTAAGTTTTTATTGAATCGGCTAGTTCAATGTTATACTTGGATTTATGTAATTGTAAGCTAAAATTAAATAAACAATTACCGCTGTTACCATCTCTTCTATTTGCTATCGCCTTTTTACAGTTATTATTATGATTAGAAAATAGACATTAGACCAATAGACATTTTTATTTCTAAATAGTGAACAATAATATAATATAAAATAATCAGTGATCGGGACGCTGTACATTTATTGAAAGTGTTTCTTTGGACCCGGCCCTTTATATAATCAACCAAACGTCTATATAAAATGCACAACAATATGTTAGAAAAGAAATGCTGAAAATGTGCAGTCAGATTTTGTATATTTGAATATAGATTTTGCCATTGTTCACTGGGATGAAAAAATACTTTCTGACATCAGAGGACACGGAAAAGTTGATTGTTTGCCTATAATTGTAACAGGTCCTAATTTTAAGCAACTTCTTGGTGTTCCACAAATTCCATCTGGTACAGGATTAGAAATGTCATCTGCTATATTCGATACTCTTGAAAAATGGTCATTAGTTGATAAAGTTCAGAAGTTTGTATTTGACACGACGTCTTCAAATATAGGCAGACTTAATGAAGCGTGTGCTCTGCTAAAACAACTATTGGAAAGAGATGTTCTTCACTTAGCATGTCGTCATTATATTTTTGAGTAGATTCTTCAAGCGGCTATAGTTGAATCAAAATTACACATATTATTCGCACCAGATATTGCAGTTTTTAAGCGTTTTAAAAATGCATGGAATGGAATAAACACCAAAAATATTTTTGTATGCACCTCGAATGAAAAATTTAAAAATATTTTGTCACCAATGCATCAAGAAATTTTGTCTTTCTGTTTAAAAATGCTAACAGAAAAACAACCAAGAGATAACTATGAAGAATTTTTGAAACTAATTACTTGGTGTAACACCAAGTGGAATAATAATTTGTAAGCCTAGTGCATGTCGTCAAGCAAAGTGATTGGCTAAAGCAATTTATTGTTTGAATATCTTTTTACTAAGATTAGAATTTAAGTTGACAAAAACCGAAGAAAATGCAATCTGCCGAGTCTGTGCGTTCATTATAAAAGTTTATATCAAGTCATGGTTTATGGCAACAAATTTAAGTGAGGCCCCTTTAAGCAATATTGATTTAATACTTATATTATTTACATATTCGATTGATGATGATATAGCTACATCATGCTTAACAAAGTTTTCAAACCGTTTATGTTACCTCAGTAACGAGTGTATATTTTCTATTTTTGATGAATAAATAAACACTGAAATATCTATATCTATCTATAATATCTATTATCAATTTGTAAAAAAGTGGTTAATGCATTGCATATAGTGAATGATACTGCTGAGAGGGGTGTGAAACTCATGGAAGAGTTTAACGAAAAATTCACCAAAAATGAAAAACAAAAACAATATTTACTACAAATTAGTATAATAAACAAAAATTTTTTGAAATATAAAAATTTAGGTTACACAAAAATACAGAAAAACGTATCCGGAATGCTCGAAGAAATCTATGAAGATTCAATTTCCATGACTTTGATGTATATTTTATAATTTTATATATATTTATATAAGACATTTAATTGTATACTTAAATAATTAAAAAATACAATAAAATAACCGTAATAAAATCAATTTTATCCAATAAATTAAATAATTTATATTTTGCTA